GGATCGACCTCTTCAGGTTCTCACCGTCTGCGATGACGAGAAAACTGAGTAGGGAGGTGAGGAGGTGACAGAAGAAGAAGAGGAGCTACACTTGAATCTGACTAAGGTTTTCCTATACTCAATGGTAGGGTTCACTACGAATCACACCATGAAAGTGAGGGGAGAGATAGGGGACCGGGAGGTTGTGGTGCTAATTGATAGTGGGGCTACCCACAATTTCATTTCTACCCAGGTCGTAGACCAACTGGAAATAAGATTGGTGGACACAGGGTGCTACGGAGTGATGATGGGTACATGGAAGATAGAGAAAAGTCCGGGGATTTGCAGGGAAGTACGACTGACGATCCAAGGGTTACAGGTGAGGGAGGACTTCCTTCCAATAGAGCTGCGGAGCACAGACGTCATATTAGGGATGAAATGGCTGCAAACTTTGGGTGACACCATGGTGAATTGGGGAGCACTTATGATGGAGTTGATGTTGGACGGAAAGAAGGTAGTGATTAAGGGAGATGCGGGGCTCTCAAAATCCCGAGTTTCTCTTAAAACGATGATAAAAGATATCCAGTTGTCGGGCAGAGGGTATTTGGTGGAGTTGCACAGTTTTGAGGAAGCAAGATTGAAAGAGGGCGGAGACATACCCCGCTCCATTCAGCTGTTGATTCAGCAATTCCAAGAGGTATTTCAGCCACCTCAGGGATTGCCACCGCAGAGGGAGTAGGAGCATGCCATCGTATTAAAGTAGGGAGTGTCTCCCATCAGTGTCTGGCCTTATCGCTACCCTCAGTTCCAGAAGGATGAGATAGAAAGGTTGATTAGAGAAATGCTGGAGACAGAGATCATCAAACCTAGCATCAGCCTTTTTTCTAGCCCTGTTCTGGTGGTGAAAAAGAAGGATGGCAGCTGTCATTTTTGTGTGGACTACAAAGTACTCAACAAGGAAACTATACCAGACAAGTTTCCTATACCATTCATTGACGATCTGCTAGATGAATTGAGTGGAACCGTGATCTTCAGCAAGATAGACTTGAAATCAGGTTACCATCAGATCCGAATAAGGAGGATGTACCCAAAATGGCCTTTAGAACTCATGAAGGACATTATGAGTTCCTGGTGATGCCGTTTGGCCTTACCAATACTCCAGCTATTTTCCAAGCCATCATGAATAAGGTTTTCAAACCTTATCTCAGACGATTTGTACTGGTATTTTTTGACGACATTCTGGTCTATAGCAGGACAGAAGAGGAGCATTGAGAGCATTTAAAGAGGGTGTTAGAAGTACTGCAGGAGCACCAGCTGAGGGCTAATTTGAAGAGATGCTGCTTTGCACAAGCCAGTGTAGAGTACTTGGGTCATGTGGTGTCAAAAAAGAGAGTGGCAGCAAATCAGTCCAAAATTGAAGCAATGATAAGGTGGCCCGTGCCGAAAAATCTAAAGGAATTAAGGGGATTCCTAGGACTGACAGGTTACTACAGGAGGTTCGTGAAGGGGTATAGCTCCATCGCATGGACACTCACTGAACAGTTGAAGAAGGACGGGTTCCTATGGGGGGAGGAGGCCACATCAGCATTTGAGAGCTTGAAGAAGGCGATGACTACGGTACCGGTCCTAGTCTTGCTAGATTTTACTCAAACCTTCATTGTGGAGACAGATGCTTCAGGATACGGACTAGGTGATGTACTGATGAAGAATCGTAGACCCATTGCCTATTTCAGCCAGGTATTGACGACTAGAGCCCAACTGAAATCAATTTATGAGAGGGAATTAATGGTCATCGCCTTGGCCATCCAAAAGTGGCAGCCCTATCTTCTTGGGAGACATTTCATTGTCAGGACAGATCAACGAAGCCTGAAATACCTACTGGAATAGTAGATGGCGACAAAAGAGCATCAAAGGTGGTTGTCCAAGTTGCTAGGGTATAATTTCGAGATTTAGTATAGATCAGGGGTGGAGAACAAGGCGGCGGACGCGTTGTCCAGATGTATGGGGGAACTGCAGATGGTGGTATTATCCATTCCTTTGATGCTTGACTGGGAGGATATCAGGGAAGAAAGTGCTAGAAATGAAGAACTATGAAGGATCAGGTCAGATTTGCTGAAAGAGGAGGGTAGCCATCCAGGGTACTCATTAGAGGGAGACAGACTGCTGTACTAGGAAAGATTTGTGATGCCCTGTACCTCGATCCACATCCCAAATTTACTACAGGAATTTCATGGAAGCGCAGTTAGGGGCCATTTAGGAGTGCAGAGAACCTACAAGAGACTAGCGGTCGAGCTTTATTGGAAGGGAATGCATAGAAATGTAGAGGAGATGGTGGCAAGGTGTGAAATTTGTCAGAGGAACAATTATTTGGCTATGTCACCAGGGGGACTACTACAGCCGTTGGCACTACCGGGACGAGTCTGGGAGGAGATATCCATGGATTTCATAGATGGGCTGCCCCGTTCAGAAGACTTCACAGTGATCTTGGTGGTGGTGGATAGATTGAGCAAGTATGCTCATTTCATCCCCCTCCGACATCCTTACACCACGGTAACAGTGGCTTCAACATTCATTAGAGAGGTGGTCAGATTGCATGGAATACCAGAGGCGATCGTGTCAGACAAAGATAAGGTGTTCCTCAGTCATTTTTGGAGGGAATTGTTCAGGTTACAAGGAACAGTTCTAAAGAGGAGCACTGCTTACCACCCACAGATAAATGGCCAAACGGAGGTGGTCAATAGGAGCTTTGAGACCTATTTGAGATGTTTTGTGTCAGAGACACCCAAATTTTGGGCCAAGTGGCTGTCTTGGGCAGAGTAGTGGTACAACACCTCTTTTCACTCAGCTTCACAAATGATTCCATTCAAGGTGCTGTACGGAAGGAGTGATTATTCCGTCAGGTTACCGAATGCATTCGGAAACCATTAAAAAAACGCCACGTCACTAAAGTGCTTGGTACAGGCGCTCGGTACACTCGGTATGCTCGGTATTTTTACCGGACGTAATAAAAATTAGTACGGAAGGGACCCCTCTCACTTGGTGCACTTCGGGAGTAGTAGTACTCCAGTTTCTTCAGTAGAGGAGCACTTGGCGGAAAGGGATCGAGTGTTAGAAGAATTAAAGAGACATTTACTGAGAGCTCAATAGATTATGAAGAAACAGGTTGATGGGCATAAGAAGGACATCCAGTTCGAAGCATGAGAGAAAGTGTTCTTAAAGCTCCGGCCATACCGGCAAAAGACAGTGGCCAATAGGAGAAATGAAAAGCTCGCTCCAAGATACTTTGGACCTTATGAAATATTAGAAAATATTGGAGCAGTGGCATATCGACTAAGACTACCACCCACGGCGACTATTCATCCGATTTTTTATGTATCACAATTGAGAAGAGCCATTGGGGATTATACAGCCTGCTCGGAATTACTGGCCACACTTACGGAGGATTTAGAGGTGATTATGGATCCCTTAGATTTGATGGGGGTTCGTCAGATAGAAGAGGGAGCGAAAAAAGTGCTGATCAAGTGGAAGAATCTGCCGGACTACAATGCCATGTGGGAGCCGTAAGAGAGGGTGAAACAGCAGTTTTCTAGTTTTCACCTTGAGGACAAGGTGATTCTTTGAGAGGACGATATTGATATGTCGGTTCAATCTCAACCGGCCCAGGTGGGGCCGACACTTGTATACAAGAGGCGGGTCAAATCGCCTCCTTCCTACACCGCCTAATGGAGGGGCCCATGCCCAATTTGTTTGGATTTAATTAATTAAAAAGATTTGATATCTTTTGAATTAATTAAATACTATC